CACCCACAGACCTCCCCCCAGGAATAGAGAGCAGTGGGGGAGGGAGCCTGGGAACTCTTGGGGGGCAGCTGAGCCAAAGCCCCTCGCACCACCCAGGTGCTGTGGGACTCATGGTGCAGCTCCCTGGATTACTAGAGGGCACATCCCTCCCCCACCAGGCAAGAACCTTGCGAGGCTCTCCCAGCCTACCAGCTCTTAGGCTGGAGCCCCACTTTCTTGGGGCACGCCCTTGGCATGCCAGAAGTAGCCAGCCATCATCTTGAACTCCCGAATCCCAGGCTGGGAAGACCTCTCACCCCAGTGTTACCCTTGCTCGGGTGTCGTCTCTTGCCACGCCCCCTGCACCATGGCAGCAGGGAGCAAGCTCAGACCCAGGGGAGCCAGGGACCCCTCACTCTGCCCTCATGGCAGAGCCCCCTGCGCAACACAACCAGGACACCTGACCTCAGCCCTCTGTGCCCCCCTGCTAGCCGGGGGGACCCCCCTCTCTGGGTGCAGGCCTAGTCCTCGGGGTCTGTATCTCAGTGAGGAGAGAGTGACAGGTCAGCAGCAAATGGTGGAGGTCACTGCAGTGTGGGGCGAGGGCGATGGAAGGAGACAGGGCGATGTGAAGGGTGACTGACGGTGGTCAAGGAGGGCTCCTCAGAGGTGGTGGCACTGAAGTCCAGTCTGATGCCAGGAGGTGGCCATTCCAGGGAGGACAGAGAGAAGACGAGGGGGGGTCTTTGAAGCCTGTGGTGGCTGAGGAGGGAGAGGAGCAGGCACCAGCTGCCTCCAACTGGGTTGCTTGGATGTGGGTGGGGAGGGCCCAGGGGGGAGGGGAGGCAAGCCGAGCTGCACCCTAAGGAGCCCTGACCCCTCCTCTCCACAGAATCTCACTGCACAAGTTCACATCTATCCGCCGGACCATGTCGGAGGCGGGGGGCCCCGTGGAGAACCTGATTGCCAAGGGCCCCATTTCAAAATATGCCCAGGAGGTGCCCGCTGTGACCGGGGAGCCCGTCCCCGAGGTGCTCAAGAACTACATGGATGTGAGTGTCTGGGCAGGGTGTCCGCTTGGGGCAGGGCCGGCTGACCGGAGACACTGCTTTAGGGAAAGTTCTGTGTGAGCTGGGGTGTATTTTGGCAAAATGCTCTTGCTTTCAGCAGCCAGCAGTGTTGAGCCCTTACCTGTGCTGGGGGGGGGGCTTCCACTCGGCCACACCCCCTATCAGGTGGTGGACTCGCACCTCTGGGGTCTGCACAGCCCAGGGCTCTCCTGCCTGGCTGAGAGGGAAGGTTGGGGTGGCCTCAGCACCCCTGAGGCATCTACTCCTGTGAGCCACTGACCGTGGGCTCCGAGCTGGGTGGGTGTCTCTCCCCAAGGCCAGCCTGGGGGAGTAGGGACAGTGTCACCCTCTGCAGATGAGGGAGCTAGTCCCAGGGCCACTGGCTGGGTGTGGAGGAGCCTAGAATCAGACACAGGCCTGCCCCTCGAGGGAGGCTGCTGTGGGGGCCCTGGGGGTGCTGGAGTTGGGTATCTGGGCCTGCCTGCTAGGGCGTAACTAACTGCCTTGGAGCCTGTGTCCCTGCCCAGCCTGCAGGGAGCCCTGGGGCAGCCTGTGACCCAGGCTGTGCCACCGCTCCTTGAGCTGGATAGAGGCTCAGAGGTGAAACATTCTGAAAGGCACACAGCCAGCAGGGGCCCGTCAGCCTACTCCCAGCTCTGGGGACATCCTCTCTGTGCGCCCCACCGCTGAGCCTTAGGGAGCCAGCCTCTCGCTGCCATCCAGCCTCTGGGGCACCTGGGACTGGGACAGGTGGCTGTGTCCTCTGTCCTGACTGGCTGGAGCCCCGGCCATGCTTGGAAGCCAGAGCCTAACAGGCATGTGACTGGGCCAGTGGAGGGGGGCCGTCTGCCCAGGTCAACTGACCAGTTCCTGAATTTCCTCAGTGCCCACACGCTCGGATATTTGCTGAGTCATCCGCCACCCCCAATCTGAGCACTTCTTTTGGGTCATGAGTCAGCAGCTGCTGGTCCTCCCTGGAGCCAGGCAGCCAGGGAGAGATGCCCCAGGGGGCTGGTGCCAGACTCCAGTGGCGACTGGTGTCTCAGGCTCCTTCCCGTGATGGGGGGGGGGCGGTGCCAGGCAGGCAGGGCCCAGGTGACCCCAAGCTCAAGAACGCCCATACTCTGACCCAGGAGAGGGCCAGGAATGGGGCTTCCCTTTGAGGCTCAGAGGGGCACATGCCCCCCTCGTGTTCAATGGAGCACCCCCAGCTGTCCCTGCTCCCCATGTGCACAGATGGGGAACCAACCCCCAGAACAGTGATCCTCCAGGGTGTCCCTCCTCCCCTAGGCCATCCGTACTCCTCTACCTGGGAGCCCTCCAGGCTTGGCCCCATGGGGCAGGGGCAGGGTAGGAACTGAGGCCCCAGAGTCAGGTCCTGACTTGGTCCCTACCCTGGAGAGGCAGTCTCTCCCCTTCGGGGGCTCTGGACCCCTGGACCACAGAGGTCCTTTTGGCCCGAGGCTTAGGTGGTAGGCAGAGCCAGTCCTGACTCTGACTGGACCACTGGTTTCACGTTTCAAATGGGGAGGGGGGAGTCTTCCCTACTCTCACCTTGGTCAGTGGGGGGGCTATACCCCGGGGTCTGGGGGTGGCAAGTGGCTGTGAACAGCCTAACGGGTCCTGGCTCTCAATACAGCTGGTGGCTTCTCTGGCCCAGTGGGGAGGTGGGGTGTCCCTCCCCTGGCCCTGATAGACCCTGCCCTCTCCCCAGGCCCAGTACTACGGGGAGATCGGCATCGGGACCCCCCCACAGTGTTTCACTGTCGTCTTTGACACTGGCTCCTCCAACCTGTGGGTCCCATCGATCCACTGCAAACTGCTGGACATTGCCTGCTGTAAGTCCTTCCCGTCTGTCCTGCCTGAGCTCCCACTGTTCTCTAGCCTGGGAGCGAATCTGAGGGGCCTGACCCCAGCTCTGCGCTGCCGGCTGCCCGGGAGCTAGCAGGGAGGTCGGGGCCCTGGGGAGGGGTACGCAGCCCTCGTTCACCTCACACCCACAGCGTTGGGGGCCGCGGCCCAGCCTCCGCCCGTCCCCTCTAGTCCTGGCAGGTGGCTGTAGGCTAGATGCTGGGGAGGAGGGCAGCTGAGGCCCTGCCTGGGCACCTGGGGCCCTGCCTGGGCACCTGGGCAACATGCGGCTCCCAGTTCTTAGACACACCAGGCAGCTTCAGCCCCAGGGCACTGCTTTCTGGGCAAACCTGTTCCTGCCAGCCTGGTTTCTCAGGGCTGGGCCCATGGTAGCCAAAGATGGAGCCAACCATGACCACCCACCCGCGAGTTGAGACCAAGGCTGGGTGCTGGCCCACTGTCCCCGGCCCTTGGGAGGGCGGCTGGGTGGCTGGGGCCTGGCAGGGGCAGGGTGGGAGTCGAGGGTCAGAGGGCACGGTGGCAGCAGGCTGACGGCTCCCCGTGGCACAGGGATCCACCACAAGTACAACAGCGGCAAGTCCAGCACATATGTGGAAAACGGTACGGCCTTCGACATCCACTACGGCTCGGGCAGCCTTTCCGGGTACCTGAGCCAGGACACCGTGTCGGTGAGTCTGTCCCCCGCCCGGCGCTCACTGTGGTGGGGATTCTCCTTCTGTGTGTGACTGGGCTCGGGCACCCTCAGCCCCATCCCAGGGCGGGGGTCTTGGCTGGCTTGCTGAAGGGGCTGTTGAGTTGGGATGGCCAGCAGCTGCCAGCCGAGCAGAGGCCTGGAGGTGAGAAAAAGCCCAGAGTGCTCAGCAGTGAAGGGACAGCAAGTGTGGACAGGGACTGGGAGCCCACCCAGCCGAGTGCAGGCCCGGGGGTCGCCAGGAGGGTTAGAAGGAGAAGGTGGGGCAGGGAGCGGCTGGCCTGGAGAGGGTTTGGACACCTGAGTAGTCCCCAAGGCCGGGGCACACAGGTGCAGGTCTGGGACCAGGACCTGCGGAGTAACGGGGAGGCCCCCGCCCAGGCTCCTGGCAGGTGCACCCCTGGGAGGACTGGCTTTCATTCTGACGCTTGGGTTTGAGGTGCCAGCTGGGTGCTCCGGGCCAGCCCTGGGGGAGCTCCCTGCACCTGGTGAGGCTTAGGGAGGGCAGAAGAGTGGGGGAGCCCCTGGGGCAGCCGACAGAGGGTTGTCTACAGAGCACACAAGGGGGTAGAGCTGACTTGGGGCCTGGCCCGGGAGATCTGGGGGGGTAAAGAGCAGAGAAGATGGTCCCCCCCAGCCTCAGCGTCTGGAGGCACAGGGAGGCAGCAAGCCTCCTGCAGGTCTGTCCCTCATCCGGGCGACAGGTGGGCTCGGGGAGCATGAGGACCAGCGGGCTCCTTCCCACGGTGCTTCAGCTGCTTGTGGGCTGCCCTCCTCCCCCACCCCGTCTCTGCTGGGCGCCCCCCAAGTTATCTCCGGGCCCGAAGCAGGATGTGGCCCAACACGCTCCCCTCCTCCGGTGTCACCCGCACGCGCACAGCCGTTTGTCCCCACATCCTGCTCTGTCAGCAGCCTTGGCCCAGCGGGGGAGGGGGAGCGTGGCCTTGACTCTGGGGGGGGTCGGGTCATAGGGTCTCAGTCCCCTGGGCCAGCCCGAGGACTGTCCCACATGCCAGGTGATGGGCAGTGACCAAGCTGGATTTTGTAGCTGTGGCCACCCACACTCGGGGTCCATGGGGACAGCCCATCTGGGGCCCAGGGGCTGGCTCACTGGTCCCTGTGACCCACTGACCCCCCCCCCACATACGGCCCACAGGTGCCCTGTAAGGTGGATGTGTCCGCCAGGGGCAGTGGCATCAAGGTGGAGCGGCAGGTCTTTGGGGAGGCCACCAAGCAGCCTGGCGTTACCTTCATCGCGGCCAAGTTTGACGGCATCCTGGGCATGGCCTACCCCCGCATCTCCGTCAACAATGTGGTGCCCGTCTTCGACAACCTGATGGACCAGAAGCTGGTGGATAAAAACATCTTCTCTTTCTACCTGAACAGGTGGGTGGGCCGGGCCCCCGTCTCCCCGTAGCCCAGCCGTGCTAAATGCAGGGGGGAGCGGGTGCAGCTGCGGTGGTCATGTGTCCTCCCTGTGGGCGCTGGGCCACAGCCCCTGGCACCTGGCTGAAGGCAGGTACAGCCGCCCTTCCCAGGAGGAGCCAGCACCCCCGAAAGAAGGCTGTGTCTCCCCATGGGAGGCGCTTGGGCCGTGTGGCCAGAGTCTTGGCTTGGTGGGCCTTGTTGCTGCGAGAACCAGATCTGGGTCTGGTGATGGGCAGATGTGGCCCCTGGGTTGCTAACAGTCCCGAGGGTACAAGGCCATGAGCCCCGGGGCAGGAACGAGCTGGCTGAACTCTCAGGGTTGTCAGTGTCTCCTCCTGGAAGCCCTCCTTGGTTCCCTTCCCTATCTGTCCCCCAGCCTGACCCTGGCTGTCCTCAGCTGGCAGGCCAAGAGGCCCTGATGCCCAAGCATGGTATCTTCTGCTGGGCACAGGGCTTGGCCTGCAGTCCACACAGGGTATAGGGTCGGAGCCCCTCCCCTGGGGGAGAAGGAAGATCCATTTCTTCTTGTGCCCCTTCTGGGTCCTTCCATCAGTATGGGCTCAGGAAGGCCCTGGCTCTCGCAGGCCTCTAAGGTTGCCCCACCTACCACTGACCTCTGACCTCCTGGCTCCACCCCGTCCTCAGGCTGGACATAGGGTGGGCAGGAGGCTGACTGTCCCTCCTTTTCCTCCCAGGGACCCTACTGCGCAGCCAGGAGGTGAGCTGATGCTGGGTGGCATTGACTCCAAGTACTACAAGGGCTCCCTTTCCTACCTCAACGTCACCCGCAAGGCCTACTGGCAGGTGCACATGGACCAGTGAGTGCCCGCTGAGCCCTCGCCCGGCTCCCTGGGGCTGCAGTGGGCTTTCTCCAGCTGCCCATCAGCAGGCCCTCAGGGTGGCGACCGGCCTGGTGGGGGTTGGGAGGGAGTGGTGACAGTGGGACGGGCCTGGACCCTGTGCCCCGCTGGCCCTGGGCGCCTCTTGTCCTCTCCTGGTGTCATCTCCACGTGGCTGTGCAGTGGCTCTGAACCTACGCGTGGCTGCTGGGTCCTGGCACCAACTCTGCTCAGGGCCCAGTCCTGAGAAAGGAGGAGAGAATGTCCTGCCAGGGCTGCAGCTGGGCACGGTGGGGGCTCCCGGGGACCCTGGCAGACACGCCCACTTCCCCTGTAGGGTGGACGTGGGCAACAGCCTGACCCTTTGCAAGGATGGCTGCGAAGCCATCGTGGACACGGGCACCTCCCTCATTGTGGGCCCCGTGGACGAGGTGAAGGAGCTGCAGAAGGCCATCGGGGCCGTGCCCCTCATCCAGGGAGAGGTGAGTGGGACAGGCAGGGCCGGGCGGGTGGGGCCGGGTGCCCAGGCTGCTGTCCCTCCCCCTGACACTGCCCGCTTCTTCAGTACATGATCCCGTGCGAGAAGGTGTCCAGTCTGCCTGAGGTCTCAATGAAGCTGGGGGGCAAAGACTACAAGCTGGGCGCTGAGGACTACACACTCAAGGTGGGGGACAGGGCTGGGGAGTGGGGGTGGAGGCCCAGGCTGCTGGCTGGCTGGCTGGCTGGCTGGTAACACTCTGGCCCCTTCCAGGTGTCACAGGGCGGGAAGACCATCTGCCTAAGTGGCTTCATGGGCATGGACATCCCCCCGCCTGCTGGGCCGCTCTGGATCCTGGGCGACGTCTTCATTGGCCGCTACTACACCGTGTTTGACCGTGATCAGAACCGCGTGGGCCTGGCCGAGGCCGCCAGGCTGTAGCTGCCCACCGCTGGCAGGAAACGAGAATCAGAGGAGGCGGTGCCCGCCCGCCCTCCCAGCTGCCCCCCACACACACTCACACTCACACACTCACTCACCTGTGCACAGCCGTCTTTCTAGGCAGCTGGCATGACAGGCGCCGTTTGTTCTGTGGTTTTCCCTTCCCTGGTTGCAGAATGCTGCCTGTCTGTCTGTCTGATGAAGGAACGGGGCCCAGGCAGCCAGTCGGCTTGTTAGGGCTCAGAGCCCTTGCACTGACCTGGAAGACACTGCTCGGCTCAGCAGCCATCTGGTGTATGTCCCAGGATTCCCTCTCCCCGACCAGGTTTCCTGCCCCAGCCTGGGCCTTGGGGTGCTGGCTGCCCGGGCGGTGCCTCTGGGCTGAGCCCCCGCCCTGCACCAGGCTGCCCTCCTGGTTCCTTCTCTACTCAGCCTGGGCCTGGAGCTGGGCACCGCTGCCCCCCCTCACCCGTTCGTTTGTCTCAGGCCCAGCAAAGAAGGGCCAGCTGAGGCCCAAGGACCAGCAGGAAGGAGCGGGAAGGGAACAGAAGAGAGCCCTGTGAGGCCTTTAGGTCATCCTGGGGCCTGACGCCACCTGGGAGAGCATGGACTCCCCTGGGGTGGGGCGGGAGGGGTGCTGGCACCGGCCTTCCCTGAGGCTGCCCCTTCTGGAGTGGCCGGGAGCCAAAGTTGACATGAAAATAAAGTTGTTGGGGCTCTCTCTTTGTGTGGGCATGTTTTGTGCTTGGTGAGGCAGGTGGGTCTAGACTGGGCGTGGGGAGGGGCTGGGAGATGCTGGCATTTTGGGGGCTTGGGGAGGGGCACTCTTTGGAGATGCCCTGCAACTGGAACCGTGGAGGCTTGAGCTAGCTGCCCTGCCACATGGCTGGCGGGAGCTGGCTTGTACCGAGGCCTAGAGCAGTGACCAGCAGGATGTGGCCTGGGCCCGAGGCCGCAGGGTGGGGCTAGCAGGCTTTCTGGTGAGCGCCAGACTTTCCTGGACACGTTCCTGCCCTGGGAGGAGACCCCAGCAACAGGGCCCCCAGTGTTCCCCAATACCCCTGCATACCCCACTTGGGCCTAGGAAGGGAGCCTGTGTGGGGGCAGCCTGCCTCCCAGCTGGGCTTCCTTGTTGCCAGCTCAGGAAGTGGCCTCTCCATGTGCATGCCAAGCAGTGTTGGGCCCACCTGGGGACCCGGGATCACAGGGCTCAGGGAGCCGAGTTAGGAATCCACCCCCGCACCCCAATTATGGCCTCTATGGAGGAGTCAGGGGCAGGAACATTTGCCCAGATGCTACTGTACAGCCAGGAGATTTTGAGGGATGAGTAGGAGTCTGAACACCTGGTGATGGGGCAGGACTCCCTCTGGGACTCTTGGCTTGGAGCCCAGCCCCGTCAGGTGTAGGGTTGGGCACATGTGGCATTTGTAACTGTCCCGGTTCCTTTTCAGCCTGCAGGGCTTTGGCTGCCTTGGGCCTGGGAGACAGCACCCCAGAGCCGAGCCTCGGTGGCATCTTCTCTAAAGAACATTTAACCAGAACGGCAAGGCAGCCGGCAAATACATGCCCAGTGTTCTCTGCACATGAAACATGAGCAGGGGAAAGGAAGGCTCTGCAGCGCCTGGCAGGGCTTCTGGGGAGACAGTGTCATCATAGCCTTTGTTCACTGAGAGGCTGAGGGCAGAGCCTCTGGGAGGGAGGTGGCCCCTCTGCCCTCGCTCAGGCTCACCCACCAGGCTGGCACTGTTCGTGGGGCCACGTGAACAGTGCCCCCAGCTCCCCAGCTCACCGTGCATGTGACCCTCCTGCTGGTAGTCCCTGCTCTGGAACATGGTGACCAGCACAACCAGACCCCCTGACACCCGCTGGGGCTGGGCCCCCAGCCCCAATCCAGGTCCTGCAGTTGCTGATGCTCCTGCTCAGAGTCCCGGCCCTGTGGCCGCCCCAGGCTCAGTTCCAGCCTCCCCAACCCCACCCTTAGCCTTGAGTCTCTGTCTCTGGGAGGTGGGTAATATCAGGGTGCTCCTCACTGGGACCTTCTCTGGACCCACCCAGCAGACCTGTGGGCAGGGGAAGGGGTGGCCTTTCCTGCCCCACACCCCTGCCTTGAGGACACCCAGGTGGAGGCCAGTGGGGCCCTCAGAGAGAGGCAGCCTCGCGGTGGTCTGAGGGAGAAAGGCCTGACCCCCCTGTGACCTGGAGCAGGCCCCCGTGAGCCAGTGCCCCTGGCCTGCTGCCCAAGGACTAGGTGGACTCGGGTGCAGATCAGGCCCCGTTGGTGGCACCTGCAGCCCCTGTCCAGAGCTGCCGGGGCAGAGCCTGAGACAGGTGAGGCAGTGCCTTGCTGGGGAAGCCCAGTTTGGACACCACAGGCCACACGCAGGCTGGGAGGGCACCTTAGGTGAGGCTCAGCCCCAGGAGAGAGGTCTGGGTGCCCCCATACCTTCTTAGGCCCTGGGCCTGGGCTCCTAGAGGGTGTGGCTGGCATGGGAGGGGGGTGCTGCTTGGGAAGCCCTCCCACACACAGGTTTTATCAACACCATTTAAGTCTTTGTGCTGCGGGCTCCTGACAAGGGTAGATGAGGCTGTGCCAGGGCTGGGCAGGGGAGGAGCTCGGAGAGGGGGTGGCACCTGTCCCAGGATAGGGAACACACACAGTTCCCTAGAGAAGGGGGTTCAGAGAGGACCAGGCAGAGGCAGGCAGCACTCCGAGGAGAGAGGGGACCCTGAGGACACAGGCCCAGGGGAGAGAGGGTCGTGGGGAGAAGGGGGGACAGGCTGAGAGGGTCAGAGGGAAAGGGGGCTTCATGGGAGGAAATGCTCTGAGCATGGCCGGAGCCTCTGGGTGGACAGGGGCTTGGAGGGACATGAGAGGCCAACGGGTTGTCACACTTCATGGGGGCAGGGGCTTTGGAGGGTGTGGGTTTGGTGGGGGCCGGTGGTGGGAAAGGGGACGAGACTCAGAGAGGCACCTTCATGGTTGGAAGGGGGGCTCCCCAGGATGGAGGGGATCACTGGGGCTTTTGCAGAATGGGGCTCAGCTGGGGACAAGTGAGAGCTCTAGGCAGTGAGCATGGTGGGGCCGATGAAGGCACTGGGGCTGTGCCGGGCAGGCGCTGGTCAGGGCAAGTGACTTGTGGGGACAGAGCAACTGCCGGAGATGGGACCCAGGTGGGACAGGCCAGGCTCACAGAGAGGCGAGGGCCCCTGAGGGGACTGAGCTCCCAGGAGACTGTCGTTAGAACCTGCTGAAGGACAGCCGGCCCCATGGGCAGAGGGACCGACTGGCCAGAGGTCATGGGCTCCGAGACTGGGTTCTGTGACGGACCTGGATTAGCAAGGGTGGGGTTCAGAGGCTCCCAGCCGGTGTGGGGGGGTCAGGTTTGGGGAAAGGAGAGGTAGGAGCCCTGACAGGGGTGGGCTCAGGAGAGAGGCCGTGCAGGGGCCTGGACTTGGTGGGTTTAGGAAGATGGAGCTGTGAGGGTGGCCGCTGGTTAGGGACAGGATGGCGCAGGGGTGCCACTCGGGGAGGGCCTGGTGAGATCCCTCCTGCCCCGAGAGGGACTGCACTTGGGGGGCTGCACGGGGTCAGATTCAAGGACACGGGCCCGAGGGAGGCTCGGGTGGCCGCAGGTGCGCGCAGGGGAGGAAGGGGGTCTTCGGGGGACAGCCGGGGG